TCACCCCATAAGGATTTTAGCAAATTCTTTTGCTTCAGCATGCATGTCACCATGTCCAATACTGTCATGTTTCTTTTTTATGCTATTACATTATGTTGAGGCGTATAAGGAGCACTTACCTCATGATAAATTCCATGTTCTATACATAATTCTTCAAACATCTTTGATGTATATTCGCCATGTCTATCTATTTGCAGAACCTTGTAAAGGTTGAGAAACACAAGAAAGAGGGGTTTGAATTGGGTTTCACATTTTGTTCCCTTTTGCGAAATTAAACTAATGACGTTAATAAGTAAATAAAAATAAATGAACACAATTATTTTTATCCTGGTTCACTGTTAATGAAGCTACTCCAGTCCACCAACCTTGGTGATTTCGCCTTAGACAAAGACTTAATTTAGTAATCATCAGCGATTACAATTACAATGGATACCTTCCATTTCCTTCTTGAGAATCCTGGCTCTCACTAGCCTCTCAAGGAATCAACCTCCAAACCATTAGAAAACGACCTGGCCCTCTCAAGCAACCTGGCTAATAACTTAGCTGCTCAAGAAAATCATTACCTTCTAAGGAATTTCATGCTACCTTCAACAAGGAGTTACACCACCTTAGACATGATTTCTCAAGCTACCTTCAACAAGGATTTATGCCACCTTTAGAAAAAGTATTTTACATGTGTACACTTAATGCTTCTTATAAGCTGATTATAAAAATGAAGTACAAAAACACCTAAGTGTTTCTAGCAAGCTCTTGAGCAGCAACTCCTTGCTTTCTAAGACAAAACTATCTAATGATAAATCTCTAAGAGATTATAAAGCACACTAGTCTTGTATTGCTTAAAATCTTTCTTATTGAGAACTACGACTTCTTTTCATGAGCTTTAAGCTTCTTTCTGATGTACTCCTTTCTTGAGCAGGTAATGCTTCTTCCGGCTTAACCATCAAGATCAACTAAGTTACCATGCTTCACTTATTGATGTTCCACTTGACTAGTTTCACATGGCTTTAGCATATTCATCGTTTGTACATATATTCAAACAGTTTGCTTCAGCTTCTTCTTGATTGAGCATTCTTCATTTAAGCTTTAGCTTGTAGCATTTTTTTTCCAGCACTTTGGCTTTGCATAACAGCATGCTATCACCAATAACCAACAATTCTTCAAGCTTCTTGATCTTCAATTTATAGAGCTTGAGAGAATAGATCCGTTGAGGGGCATTCTTGGAAACATATTCCAACAGCAATATCCCAATGTTCACATGAAGGAATGATCAACATCACTGTACAAAAAGCTGCTCTCGCCCCACCTTATCGAGGTAGAGGTCACAATTTTTGTATTCTTGTCTTCAGCTCAAAACCATTCTTATCTTCAGTCTTTCTAATGTCTTCAGTGGCTTCAAATAAAACATTGATGAAGTATCTTGTAGAAGAGTCAATTCTTTGCACCTTCAGAAACCTAGTCTTCAGAATTCTAAGATCTTTATTCAGTAGAACTATCTTGAGAATCTTCAGCACTCGTTCTTTTAGAAGTAATATTTTCAGAATCTTCAGAACCTATTTCTTCAGAACCTTGTCTTTAGAGTATTTAGAGTTCATTAAGCACATTCTTGTCTTCAGAGTCTTCAGTACTTCGTTCACCTGAACCTTATCTTTAGAAACTCTCCAGAACTTGACCTTCAGATATTATGTCTTTAGAATCTTTAGAAGCATGTTCACCTAAATCACGTCTTCAGAATCTTTAGAATTGTAGCATTAGAATCACATCACATTAGAAAGCCTTATAGGCCTTTCTCATAAAGTCTCAATTAGAATGTCTAGAACTAACGTTCATTAAAATCATTGTATTAGGAAAATTCATGAATCTTGAATTTATCTTGTACGCACATATGTTTTCTTCCAGAGTGTTGATAACAAAGTGTGATGACGTCACACCTCTTCTTATCAGAGTCAAAATCATATTGATAACAGTCACATACTAGACATAAACTATATCATACAAAATTGTTCTCTTAGATAACATGTGAAATTATCATCAAAACTCAAAGGCCAAATGTAGAACCAAATCTTGTTCTTACACCTTGATCTTCTTTTCACTCAGGCTTTCAACAAATATTTTAAATCTCTTAAAGATTGCAAATACTTTGTCCTTTTGCTTGATGACACAAATCCAAAGCTTTCGACTATAATCATTGACAAATGAGAAAAAATACCTGTTTCCACCAATGGTATGATCCTCAAATGGTCCATATACATCTGAATATACTACTTCTAGTATGAAAGAGGATCTCATTGGCATAATCGAAACGAAAGACTTTATGATTGCTTTCTGGCTAAGTAACCTTCACAGAGTTTGTCGGGCATCTCAAGACTTGGTATATCAATTAGTATATCTTGAGTAATCAATTTATTGAGTGATCAAAAGTTCAAATGTTCAAACCTCAAATTCCATAGCAAACTATACCTGTGTTCGACCATAATTTTTAAACATTGTACTTTAGTCGAATTGATCATGGTCTTGAATGTCTTATTCCCCGACAAAGAAGATATCAAGACCAAATTATTCAGTGTCAAACTATTCCAAGGCTCCATATTTTATAATTACTGATAAACCTTTTTCGACCAGTTTTCCAACACTTAATAGATTGCACTTCATTCCAAGTACTTAGAGTACATCTTTGATCATAATTTTTTCTCCATTGCTCCTTTGAATAATTATGTCTCCAGTACTTTCTGCTTGCAATGAGCTATTACCAACAAGTGTGACCTTGATCTTTTTCGATGAGTCAAAATCTGCTAACCACACTTTTCGACCAGTCATGTGATTCGAGTAACCCGAGTCGAGGAACCAGATCTTGGAGTCAACATGATCATCTACAAATGCAACCATAACCTCCATATCTTCTGAATCATCTGAATCTTGGTATGCACGGTTCACTCTTTCCTCCTTGCCTTTTGTCTCTCACTTGTCTTTATTGTATAATAATTCTTGGCCAAGTGACTTCACTTTTCGTAGTTATAGTACTGCACACCTTTTTCTCTTTGTCTTTCTAATTGAAGTTTCCTTCTCATCTTTTTGAGGATTTAGAGGCCCTGCCATCGACCTTATGCTTTTGTGGGTTCAACCAAGACTTCTTGCTCTGAGTCCTGTCTCATTTGCCTCTTAACTTCTCAGAACCACCACGCTTCTTCTAAGCCTGGGTTTGCAGTGCTTGTATCGAATCTTGAACCCTTTTCCTTTCGACAATCCTAATCTCACTCGCCTCCAACAAACCAACCAAATCTTCCAGTTTCAAGGTTTCAAAATTGTTGGATTCTTGAATATTTACAATAATGTGATCAAAGTGAGAGGTCAACATATACATTAACTTCTCAACTATCATCTTATCAGTTAGGGTTTCACCACAACTCTTCATGACATGGACGAGATTCTACATGTTTGACACATAACTTGCAATCTTTTCACCTTCTCCCATCTGCAACAATTCACGTTGCTGTCGCAAAGTATGCAATTTGGCGACATTGACTTTCTCACCCCTTCATAGTATTTGACAAGAATATCTCATGCCTCATTCGTCGATTCAACATGAGAGGTCTTATCGAAATTCGTCGAATCTACCGCCGATTGAATGCAACACGCGAACTTGCAGTCTTTCTTCTCCGCCTCCTTGTTTGCGACTATCTAAGCATAAGTTGAATTCTCAGCAAGCTCAGGGACGCCATTAGTAAACACTTATATGGTTTCATGAAAGCCGCACAACGACTTCATCTGCTTGCTCCAACGCTTCCAATTTTTGCCGTCAAAATTGGAATAGAATTCACAATGCCATTAATACCATTCATCTTTACAGCGATTGATTGATAACCCATGATCTTGGAAACACGATCAAGAATCTAACTAGAACTCTAAATACCAATTTGTTAGCGCGTGTGACACTTTTAGTAAGGAGAGACAAAATAAAAGAGAATGAAAATAAGGAGTAATATTATTGAATTATGATTGTAAAAAATAAATTACAAAATATATCTATTTATATATAACTAACTTGTATATTAAATAGAATTTAATTGATATACACTGACAATGTAATTTTTTTTTACACTGTCAGTTAATCACAATCGTTGATTTATTTAAAAAACTTGACTTTAATTTTATCCACTTAAAAAGTAATACTAACGAGTAATTGTGATGCATTGACAATATACAACTTTTTATACTGACACTGTATAACAATTAATCTCTATTAAATAACAAACTCTAAAACATAATTAACTTTGAATTTATACCACACAACTTAATTATAATTTTATATCACAACAAAAATGATTTACCTAAAAAAACAAATTAACAAGTGAAAAAAAAAACAATATGTTAATTAGGTGTTGAAGAAGAGATTGCAAACACAAATTAAAATTGGGAGAAATTAGAAACTTGAAAATGCTTGCTCCCAAAAGTTTGGTAATTGTTGAAATAAAACGAAGGATCACTTAAAAAGTAAGGACAAACTTAGTTTATACACGACCATTATTATTATTTTAAATTATATATATCTTTACGGACTGTATATATAAATTAGAGATTAATTCATCCGAACATAGAAGTAAGAAAACAAATAATATATTAATAATATATATTATTTATTTTTACGATAATTATATATTTATAATGGTATGGCAGTGTTAGTTTTATAATTTATATTAAATAAGAGAATAAAATAGAGTATATCCATTAAACTTTAGTAGTAATAAACACCTTTTGAATTAGAAAACAAATACATAAACAATTCAATCATCTACCGAAAAGACAAAATACGTTTTTCATTAAATTATTTTATAAATGTAGTGCAGTTTGTAAATAAATATACCCAAAAATAAAACTTTAGTTAAAAAAAAATGATAAAGTAAAACAGAAAAAACAAAAACAGGAAAGAAAATCGTGTGACTGGGTTTTGAATTCCGTTTTGACTCTCTGCACATTGCAACAGCACAAACCCAAGTAGAGTGATCATGAACGATCACCAGGAGTGTGAAATTCGCCAAAACGATAAACCTGTTCGAGTTTACGCCGATGGAATTTACGATCTCTTTCACTTCGGTCATGCCCGTTCTCTTGAACAAGCCAAGAAATCGTAATTTCTAAACAACCCTCTTTTTTTGTTTTATTTCATTGAAAGTTTTGTTTTTTTCACCACCCATCTTTCTCAATTTCACTTTTCTTTTGAAAATAGTAATTTTTTGTGATTTTTTAGTTCAACCCTATTTTTTGTTATTTTTTGGTTGGTTCCCATGATCTAAACTTCTATTTAGTTTAATCTAATGTCTAGTTGTTTTTATATTCGTTTGTTGTTCAATTTCATTATACTATTCATCAATTTTGTTGATTTCTTATTTCCAATTATGGGTTGTTTTTTTTAAATGTCTTTTAGTGGCATGCTGAATTTGTCTATGATTTTTTATTTATTTATATTGTTGGATTGGATCTATGCAAATTGCTACAGTTGCCGTTTGATTGAACTTCTGCATGTTGTGATGATAGTTTTGTTGTTTGTTAATTGAAGGTTTCCAAACACTTATCTTCTTGTTGGATGCTGCAATGATGAGACCACTCATAAGTACAAGGGTAAAACTGTTATGACTGAGGCCGAACGCTATGAGTCTCTTCGCCATTGCAAGTTCGTTTTTTTCTTTTCTTTTTTGGTTACTTAAATATGAATCGTTGTTGCTGATCTCTTAACTTTTGATGTGTATTTCTGTTAGAAAGCGTCTATTTTATCTTATAGTTGTAGATGTATGTATAAGCCATGTTTCGATTGAAGTTTTATTGACTTGTGATTGAAATTCAGTTACTTTTCTTTCTGTGAGGAATCAAATAAGTATGGTGTATAAAATAATAATAAAAAGTTAAAGAGTCCAGTTTTTACCGGTAATTTGTAGTGAAAACTTCTGCTTATTTGCATGAATGCCCTTTGTTTCTTATCAATACCAATGACTTAGGCTTGTTCTTTGATCCTAATGGTCGAAGGCGTTGGGATTCTGGCTATTATTGTTGTTGTCTTCACTTGCTGCACTTGTCAAGAGGTTGGGTGGCGACGTTATGATTTTTATGTTTTCTTAAGCGACTATCATCTGGGTTTGTTTTTGTTATTCCTTGCTGAATGCACCGGTTTTGAGTAGTGGTTTTTATTTTTTAGGCTTTACTTGAGAACCGTCGCCGAAGTTTACTTTAAGACTTGTAAGTGATTTGTGGTTTTGGGTTATAACAAGTAAAATTTCTTCCTAATTGGTGAGAGAGTTTTATTCTCGCTCGCTATATATGTTTCCCACAATTGTATCATCTCTGTTCATGATACTCTCAGACTGTGATCCTTCTGTTGACTATTTCATCTAGTTATATTTTGGAGGGATGAGTTTTACGAGTGGTTGGAATCTTCCATTGAAAACTTGTAAACTCGTCCATTTGTATGCCTTATTTAAATAACTTGTTTACTTTCATTTTGGATCGGTAAGAAGTTCAATTGTACTTGCTGCAGGTGGGTTGATGAAGTTATTCCAGATGTGCCATGGGTAATCACTCAGGAGTTTATTGACAAGCATCAAATTGACTATGTGGCTCATGATTCCCTTCCGTAAGATTAACCGGTCTCATTCTAGCTATTTTCTCTTTGTTGTATGGTCATGCATTCATGCCTCTATTTGATCTGTGTGACACTGCTCTTCTTTCACCAAGTTCTTATATATTCTTATATACGTTAACACTTCCTTCCGTATTCTATTACCATAGTTACGCTGATACAAGTGGAGCTGGAAAGGATGTCTATGAATTTGTAAGTTTGAGTAATAGAACTATCTTTGAATTTAATTTCATATAATTGAATGTTCTTGATTCCCCTCTGTCTTTCCACGGTGACATTCATCTTTATTTCTACAACAATTCATCTATATGATTCGTGTGACTACTTGAAGCCTTTTTCTCCTTTACTATATATATGTTGTTTGGCCTATGGCTTGCTGATTTACTATTTTGTTTGCTTTGTTTCCTCGGTTTCTCCGTCGTTTGGCTGTGTGATTCTTTATCGGATTAGCACTAGTTGTAAACATCTCGAACTTTTCGGTTTCCATTGTTGATCTTATGCTTATTAAGTTCTTATTATACAGGTTAAGGCTATTGGAAAATTTAAGGAAACACAGCGAACTGAAGGAATTTCTACTTCTGATATCATAATGAGAATCATCAAAGATTATAATCAGTATGTAATGCGTAATTTGGATCGTGGTTATTCAAGAAAAGACCTAGGTGTTAGCTATGTCAAGGTTTGTTCTTTTTGTTAATCAGTTGCAGCATTACTATGCTTTTTCGCGTTTCCGAAAGAATTAGCCCAGTTGCACGATCTCTTATTTGCAGGAGAAAAGATTGAGAATGAACATGGGACTTAAAAAATTGCAGGAGCGAGTGAAGAAACAGCAAGAGACTGTGGGAAAGAAGGTAACAATGTAAATCCTGAACTATCTTATTAGTTATCAACTTTTCTTTTATATTCGTATCAGTAAACGTTCGTACAAACCGTGTTATTAAACTTTGCAGATAGGAACAGTAAAAAAAATTGCTGGCATGAACCGTACTGAATGGGTAGAAAATGCTGATCGATTAGTTGCTGGATTCCTCGAGATGTTTGAAGAAGGATGCCACAAAATGGTTGGATCTCTTTCCCTTCTAAAGTCCTGTTATTTTTTTGTTAGATATTTCATTTTGTAAAACTTCTGATGGACCGAATCGGTTGGTTTAATGACTATACACTAGGGAACGGCAATCAGAGACAGAATTCAAGAACAACTGAAGGCACAGCAGCTAAGATCTCTTCTATACGACGAGTGGGATGATGACGTTGACGATGAATTCTATGAAGATGAATCTGTGGAATACTACAGCGACTAAAGGGACAAATATGCTTGTTTATTTACAGATTGTGAACCGTTTGTGTAAAATATTTGATCTATGTCATACATGCAATATGGTTTGGTTTGGACATTATTTGTCTTTTTTCTTAGTTTGATATCTATTACCTGTGTTTGAGTTTTGATATGACCTAGTCTCTTGTCATGGAAGATCATGACTAAATTTCTTAGAATCAATTTATATATATTGGAAGTTGGTTTTGATCTAAAGACCCAAAATCAAGTGGTTTGAATTCACTCTTAAAGATGAATAAATGAAGTGTCGCGGATTTGAGCCCGTGTCTCTGCATTTGGTATTCCTGCACTGTTACCAACTAAACTGACTAAATTGATTTAACTGGACATAGACTCTCTTAATACTTCTGTTTCATGCTCATGACTAAATTTTCAAAGTGTTATAACAGTAATTTAATAGTAGATGTTTCGATTAATCTTTGATAAGAAGGAGCACCTTTGTATTATAAACATGGTTAAATAAAACTTTTCTATATTCAAATAAATAAATTTTTGTATATTAGAACTTCTACGTTTCTATAAAATATGATTAAATAGAACTCCTCCATATTTAGTTTTGATCTGAAATCTAACTTGGGATTGTTTAGCTATATGTATAAATGATAATTTATGTAGATAAATTTTTGAGTAGTGACAAACCTAACAAACGAGTCATGACTCTTAAATGCCATCTTTGTGCAGGTGTACGGTGTGAAGAAGACATTCAAGTAGTGGGGCAACAACTTGTGAAGATTCTAATTATTGAACGCAATCAGTTATAAATAGTGGCTATCTATTTTTGTTTCATCTGATAGACACAAAATCTTAATCAGATCAAAGTGACAGGACAAATGTGGCTTTATCACACACTTGGATATGTCGGAAGAGAAAATGCATGCAAGTGAGAAAGTATTATGCTTGCTTATTACATCAATATATTTAAGCCCCTCAAGAATGATGTCATGACCGATCTCGGAATTTTCAACTTGCCACCACTACACTTATACGTGACACTCTCTATTTCATATGAATAGAGAATTCTGGCCTTATAATATTTTCACTCATTTTTTGAAATTCACTTTCTAGACATGGGAGTTTAAAAATCTCTGAGGCGATGTCGGAAATTTCAATTGGCCTACTAAAAATTTCAAAAAAAAAAAATATTTTTTTAATCATAAATAACAAAATTTACGTGATTTTGTACTGTAAATTTTAAAATTTTCGATAATTGTGAGAATATTTATAAGTTTATTCGTAGTCTCTAAGAGGGAGTTGAATTAAATTTATTGGATTTTTCTCAATTTGAAGCGGTAGCACTGACTTTGTTATTTTTCCAGAATTGATATGAAAGTAAATATGCTAAAAAATAAATGCAGAAAGTAAAAGATACAATGATATACCCTAGTTCCTCTCACAATCCAATAGTACTTCAGTCCCCTTACCCCTCGTGAGATTTTCCACCATATCAGATCTTTGTACAATTCTTCCACCAAGACATATCCTACAATCTTCTAACATAAGTAACACAAGTTAGAAAAGAAAACAATCCTTTCTTTTTCACTCTCTTGTTTTCAACAATCCTGGACAACAAGGTATACACAAATCTGAATTTTTAACAGAAATTATAGCTCTTGAATCAATCATGTATTAATTGATTTTCTCTCTGTATTGATCACAATCCAAACATATATACATAAGTGCTAAGAATAATATGAATGAAATTTTAATGAATGCGTATGAAAGTTCATGCAGAAAGTTTCATATTTGAAAGTTTAGAAACTTGTTTGGATTATGAGATGTGAAAGTTCTATATCAAAGATTCTCTTTTGAAATATGAAATTTTTGTGTCTAAGAGTCTCTTTTTGAGAAATTGAAACCACAAGTATATATACAAGCAATATGCTCTTTCGAAAGAGTGCATATTCATGAAACATTGCCATGTTTGATGTATGAAAGTTGCAAAACATTGGAATCATCTTTTTCATGAAAAAATATGTAAAATTTGAAGTTTTTGAATGTGTAACAGGTTACTAGAAATGGTGTAACCGATTACACCTGATACATTTTCAAAAACTAAGGTATTTTTACGTTTTGAGCAACTGGTGCAAACTGTGGCGGTTTTAAATTGCTATTACGGCCGTTTCAAATGCCACAATTTATCAAAAACAGAATGTTTGAAACAATGTTATGAAAAACCATTTTTAACGTTCATGTAATCGGTTAACAGGAATGACGTAACTGGTTACACCTGCTATGAAAGTGAAAACTACTTAAAAATTAAGTTTTAAACAAGTTCCACATGATGTTAAAATGAACGCATGCACAAGACGAAATGATTTTGATAATTCTGAGCAATTAAGATGTATATTCTTGAATTGTAAAGAATACTCAACCATCTTGATTCTTCCATTGACTTTCGAAAGCTTATTCTCATTTGAATTTAATTGCTTTAGTCTTCAAGCTTTGACTCTTCTTTTTGTTGATGAGTTTGTCTTCATAATACTATAACTAAGTACAAGAAGAACTCTTCTTCACATTCTCCTCTTTTTTGATGATGACAAAACATCCTATGAAATTTTACTTGTTCGTTAATGAATTGCTTCAATATGTGATTTTTTGAAATATTGAGTAACAACTAGAATCTCTCCTATCTTGTATATCTTCTCCTTACTTTTGCAATTCAAGGCATTCTCCCCTAAAAGTATTATGAACAAGAACAAATACAATACCTACTATTTCTTCTCCTTTTTGACATCATAAAAAAGAAGACAAAGTAGAATAAAATACAAACCAAGATGATAACATATGAAGGATATATTTATAATTTAAAATTAATAACACAAAATTAGACACTTATCTGCTTCACAAGGATTTAAAGTCAAAGTTGATATCAATGTTGAAACTTCTTCAAAATATCTTTTCAATCAATGAAACTTTTAGAAACTACCATATCATATGATCTTGTGTCATGAAGGATCAATCTTGATTTGACAATGCTAGCATATGACCTTCAAGTACCTACAAAAACAATTTGCGGTACAAATGACTTGCAAATCTCTGAAAATTTTAGAATTTCCGATAGTTATAAAAAAATTGGTTTTTCCCGTAAATTTCAGAATTTTAAAAAAAATAAGGAAAAATTTAAAATTAGTGAAACTTTTGGTAGTTATTAATATTTTTTATTTTTTCTGTTTTTGCAAAGAAATACAAGGGCATGGACGACACTATTGAAGGCAGAGTGACTGATAGAGCGGCAGAACACGCTAGGGTTGTTGAGGCCGAGTCTTCTCAGATACTGGCTGGACGAGTGGTTCCAAATGGTTCACACCAGAAAAGGTTGATTGAGCAAAGGTAGTTCAACACTCCTCGTAGCACCCGACGCCGGACCATTTGATTAGTTGAGCAATCCATAGATGATGTTGAGTCTGTTCATACTCAAGATGTTCATGACCTAGTGGTCGAGATAGATGCGACACATATGACTGTTGAGGTTGTTGATGAGGTGGTTGTTGATGAAGTGACTATGTGGTGATCCAGCCAGATGCCCCTGTTGCAGATGAGTGGTCCAACCATATGTCGTTGTTGCTGATCCGATCTCATCTGTTACTGCTGACACAGAGGTTACACCTCCTTCGACTCAGCCGTCTGTGCACACTGATGGAGGATTCCCAAGAGGATCCATTGATCGGCCGATGCTTATTGAGTATGTTAACCATGTGGCATATCGACTAAGACAGGGAGAGGGATATATATTTTATGTTTAACTTTAATTTATTTATTATTTTGTTTTTTAAATTTGTTTGTTATAGAATCGTCTCCCAGTGAAGGTGACATCGCACGGGTCAAGGCTGAAGAACTTCCCGAAGACTCTGATGCCTGAACAGATCAACCGTATTATACACGATTTTGAGCTCCTTGATTTTGTCCATTGTTCCCTCACCATTCTCGACACTTCACTACTTACTGCTTTTGTTGAGAGATGACACAAGGAGACATCTTCATTTCATCTTCCATTTGGGGAGATGACTATCACTCTAGCTGGCGTCTCCTCATTGTTTCATCTCCCCATCGCCGATAGATTCTCCATGGCTCATGTTATTAGCCCCGTCATTTGCATGTTTGACTGTTGTACGAGATTTGGGAGTTTCTAAGGAGGTCATACTGAAGGAGTTTGACTTCAACAGAGGCGCTCACCATTGTATGTTTTGGCTTCGGGATAGGTACGAGGAGCTTGTTACGTCACAAAGGTACGAGGATGCCGCTATGGTGTACATGATACATCTAGTAGCATGTACTTTTTTTTACGGATAGTCTGATGTTTATATCGACGCCCGATACGCGTGGCTGTTCAGTAGCCTTGACGTTACCAGTTGAGCTTAAGGGTGCACTGCGTTGACCATCCTATATACAAAACTTAGAGTGGTGAAAATATTTAAGACCAGACACTTTGCTGATTATTTAAGTATATTATAAGAATACTTGAAATTATAATTTGTTGTTGAGTTCTTATATAATTGTTACGAATAACATTTTTTAATTATTATTTGTTATGTCTGTGTTTTGATATCAGTGCTGGATATATGGTTGTGTGCGGAGTACAAGAGAAGGCTAGATGTGCTAAATGTAGATGATATCATCTGGACACCATCCACTGATCATAGAGTCCACCATGAGTTTGATGACTCTTTTTTATATTTAGGTTATATGCAGTGGGAGACCATGGTCGCATACACTTTCTTAAGAGGTATCTGCAACAATATGGTTATGTTTAGAGCATCCCACGACAAGTTTTGGATATTCCATCTGCGAGCAACGACATGTGGTTTCAGAGTAACATCATCAGCTCCGGTCGTGCCATTAGAGATCACTCAGTTACAATTCAACATGTCTCACAGTTCGAAGATGGTTTCTTGGAGTGACACCTCATTGTATCACACTCTCACATCATCCCACCTGTTGAACATACAAATGATGTTAGACCTTTCGATGCTAGGGTACCTGTCCATGACGTGCCACCGCCTCCTCCTCTTCCAGCCGATACTGATGACCAGCAACGCCTCTAGATGATTGCAGTTATTATGGATAACGTCTTGGTTTGGTAAACCCAGATGACGAGGTTTATACTGGATTATCTCGGACTGCACACATAGTCCGTGTGAGACCTATTTAGACATTATTGTTATCTTTATGTATTATTTGTATATTATATGTAACATTACTCAAACATCTTCATCATAACTTTTTATTAGATAATATTTTTGATCGTCCATTGATGCAACATAAACATAAATTGACATTTGACAATGGATTACACAAAACTGTTAGTGCAATCACAACCGTCCAAAACTGTCGGCAAAATCCCGAGTGTTCAAAATTTCAAACAAATTAAACTATCAAAAATTACTTTGGTTGAAATTTCAAGTATAAAATGATACTTTTAGAATATCCGCTAATATTTGTAAATTCATAGAAATTTTAGAAATTCTAGTATATCGGAAATTATAAATACACCACCAGAAATTTAATTTGTACCGAAAATTTTGATTTGTCAACTAAAAATTTTATACGAAAACTTGTTTCAAAATTTTGTCAGTTATGAAATTTTGAAACTATGAGGGAGTGCCAAATATAACTATGGAGGTGGCAAACTAAAACCTCCCTAACTCGTGGCAGATTAGAGTTGGCAAAATAGACCGGTAAAATTTATAAAAAAACTTCAGGCTTGAAAATAAAAATTAAAATACTTTTATCATTTGAGCTTTTAAAATCAATTGGTTAAAGGTCCGAAGTCTAACCAGCTTAGCATAATCGGGTTGCACGTAACCAAAATTTTTTTTTTGACAAAAATTACAACACATTGTATTTTAGTTATTTTATTTATTATTATTATTATTATTATTATTATTATTATTATTATTATTATTATTATTATTATTATTATTATTATTATTATTATTATTATTATTATTATTATTATTATTATTTTTATTTACAAATAAGCTGTATTAAAGTTTAATTCTTAAATTAAATACTGAGTAATTGTTTCAACTCTTTTATAAGCAACTTGTTTCATGTTCAAATTCAAATGAATCAAAAACATCATATGCAAACACTTCTTAAATATACTATAATAATCATAACTCAAATGATAAATTGACAGTAGAATTGTGAAAATTGAAATGAATAAAGCGTATGTCATTGTTATGATTTTTGTAGAATGTTAAAATTACAAAAACAAGTAAACAAAGATAGTACCTAGACAATGATATGAAAATTGTTACAAACATAACAAGAAAAAACTATGATATAACAATGTTTAAGCAGTGTACAGAATCACGAGACTTGATCACGTTCCTACAAGTAGGACAAGAAGAATGAGAAAGCAACCACTTATCAATACAAACAACATGAAAACGATGATTACACTTTGGTAGCATCTTCATCTTATCACCATCACAAAACTCAGCTAAGCAAATAGCACAGTTAGAATCCATAGTTTGAGGAGTTGATGATCCACCTGAATGAGTATTATAAACTGATGTTGGCAAAGCAACTCTATCTTTCTTCTTGAGTCCGGAATTGTGCCTTCGAGAAGCGATCCATTGGAGAGGTTCGGTAAGGACACGGCTCGCGCATTGGAACACACATTGTAGCATTGTGTTGAGACCAAGAGCACAGAGTAAAGCACATACTATTGCTGCTATGAGAACCATTGAATTGAGACTATGTTGTTGTGGAGGATTGTTACATGGTTTGCTTGTTGTGGGACTGATTGTTGGAGTTTGGGTGTGAATTTCTGCCATAGGTTGATGAAGTTGTGTTGAAACTTGAAATTTGATACATAAGTTCAAATATGAGATAGTAATTAGTGGGGTAAGGGACATGGAAAATTGTTGCTTACTTGGTATTCCACTTTCTGTCTATGCACTTGAAATTAGTGTAGAAAGCATGTGATGTTTGTATTCTTTGCACTCTTTTTTCTATTTTATGTTGGAAATATTAAGCCTGTGGATATGTATCAGGACTCATTTATCATTCATGTTCATATTTTATTGCATCAATTGTTTCTGTTTCTTGTCACATCTGTTTTCTTTTTAAACAATAAAACAATAATAGTTTTCAGGAAAAAGTTTTACACAGCAACCCAAAAAAGCATAACATTCTTTAACTAAGAGAACTATAATGTTGTAATTTCTCTTAAGAGTTAGTTTGTAATTTTGTTAATTGGTGAGAAATTCAATGCCAATTGCCAACAACAAAGTAATACGGTTAGAATAAGAGGGTTTTTTGAAAACCAAATTTTTTTTAGATTTAAGAAGAGATGAGAGAGAAGAGATAACAAAATGGTTAAAATAAAATTTTCATTCACTTTCACAAAGAGTGTTATTTGTTTATAAGTGAATTATCAACCATCTCTCTTATAAAGTGAGAGAACACGACTTATATATAGACTACTCTCCAGATTTAAACTCTGTCGAAATTTTCAGTTTTCGACTCTGTTGAAAAACTACAGCTACATGCAATGCGTTTGAGTTCGATCCAACTAACTTTTATCAACAAAGCTATAAATCTCCACCTTGAAACTAACTCTAAACCATGAAATAGACTACCTATCATCACGCAATTTTATCAACTGCATACAATGGAAAAATTTATAACTTGGCAATGACTTGGTGATCATATCATCAACATTGTGACCGATCGAAACCTTCATCTCCTTTACTTCTCCCCTTTCAATTTTCTCTTTGACAAAATACAGTCTAACATCAACATGTTTTGTCCTTTCATGATAAGCTGAATTCTTTGACAAACGTATGACACTTTGACTATCACATTTAACAGTGATTGCTATCAGAGTTAGAGTTCACAAATTCTTCGATTTTTCTTTTGTCATCTTGACCTCTGCCTCCACCATAAATTAGGATCCTGCTCAGGGATCATTTTATGTATCTTAGGATCCATTTCAAAGTTTGCCAATGAACTTTTCTAGGGTTAGTTATGTACACCTACTTACAAGGATTATTGCATAAGTTATGTCTGGTATAATACATACCATAACATATATCAAAGAACCCATTATACTAGAATATGAAATGTTATTCATATAGACCCTTTCGATTTGAATTGTTGAGTTGTTGGCGTTATAACAGGTTTTGAGTTCGACATATCGAACCTGTCGAGAATCTTTCTTAGATATGACTCTTGTTGTGAATCGGATGCCTTTAAACAAAGTATAAACAGTTTCTTAGCAAGAAACACACAAGGGTTAGTAAAAAAGAAAACAACAAGGAACAACAAGGATTGGTTATTAAATTGCTATTCTTTCCTTTCTCTTAGAACAAGATTACAAGTATACAAGAATAACAAAATAACTTCTCTCTCTTGAAATTAGGATTTTATCTTCCTAATTTTCCTTATGCCAAGATTGAGAAACTAGCATACTATTTATAAGAAAAATAGCACACTAACCTAATGGGCTTTTTAACAATTACCCATTACAAGCCAACTTAGGGTACAAGCTAACTTAAACAATTAGGCTTACAAGCAAGACCCAATTCAACATGCTAACAACCCTAGCAATATTGACTAATGCATGTTAGAACAAACTTCGACCACAACACACATTACTTGCGAACAGACTTCGACTATACTAGAGTTCGATCCAACATCTCACAAATCTCCACCTTGGATCTAACTCTATAACATCAAGAAACTAGCTTTCTTCATGCAGCTTTATTAACTGCATACAGTGGAAAAACTTGCAACTGGACAACGCCTTGGTGATCATATCAGCAGCATTATGATCTGTCAAAACCTTCAGCACTTGGACTTCTCCACACTCGATTACCCCTCTGATGAAATGCAGCCTCACATCAATGTGCTTGGTTCGCTCATGATAGGCTGACTTCTTCGACAGGTGTATTGCACTTTGACTATCACATTTAATAGTGATAACTCGGCCTTGAAGTTTTAGCTCCTTTGCAAAACCTTCAAGCCACAATGCTTCCTTCACAGCTTCAGTTAGGGCAATACCTGCATAATCAGAGTCGACATATCCTTCGATTGCTGCTTTACTATCTTCACCCAAGGCTCCACCATAAATTAGGACTCTATTCAGAGACTCATTTATGTACCTTAAAATTCACTTACAACTGACTAACTTGGCTCCAGCAGGTTTCTTGATCAGTTCCCAAGTGTTGTTATCATGAAGAGATTTCATCTCATCATCCATGGCCTTCAGCCATTCAGTCTTCTTTCGACTCCTCATAACTTCCTTATAGTCTCTAGGTTCTTCATCTAGAACCTCACATGCAGAGATTAAGGCGTAAGCTATAAGATCTACATACCCAAGTCTCTGAGGTGGCTTGATGACTCTCCTTGACCTGTCTCTTGCTAGCAGGTAGTCATTTATCAGTCTTCTCATCTTCGACAACATCTTCTGCGTCTTCTTCGACTTCATCTGGGGTAAGCAATTCAGCATCAACATGCTCCACCTTAACAGGAATCTCTTCCTGTTCCAGCTCCTTGTTAGCATCATCAGTTTTCTTGAAAGCCATCTGGGCTTCATTGAAAACTACATCTCGACTGGTGATACACCTCCTATGACCTGGCTCTAGGCACCATAGCCTATAAGCTTTTACTCCTTCAGGGTATCCCATGAACATGCACTTCAGAGCTCTAGGTTCGATCTTGTCTTGCCTAATATGAGCATAGGCCACACAACCAAATACTATCAGTCTATCGAGATTAGGTGGATGTCCCGACCAAACTTCTTCAAGTGTCTTCATTCTCAAGGCAGTCGAGGGACATCTATTTATCAGGTAAGCTTCTTTCGAAACAGCTTCCGCCCAAAACACCTTCTTCAATCCAGCACTAGCCAACATGCATCTAACCCTTTCAAGGATCGTTCGATTGAATCTCTCAGCTAAGCCATTTTGTTGAGGAGTACCTGCTACAGTCTTATGCCTTGCAATCCCAGACCCAACATAGTAACTGTCGAACGCTTCATTGCAGAATTCAAGGCCATTGTCGGTTCTCAACCTCTTAACCTTTCTGCCAGTTTGAGTTTCGACCAGAATCTTTCAACTTTTGAAATTCTCAAAAGTTTCATCCTTCGTCTTCTGAATGAATACCCATAACTTTCTGGAATAGTCATCAACGATGGATAGAAAATACCTTGCACCTGAGTGTGAAGGATTCCTTGTAGGCCCCCAAAGATCAGCATGAATGTAATCCAGAGATCCATGTGTTCTTTGCTTGCCTTTGTTAAACTTCTCCCTACAGGATTTACCAAATACACAAGATTCACAAAATTCCAACTTTTCGACTTTGTCACCTCCTAGCAGGTTCTGCTTCCCCAATTCGACCAGGCCTATTTTGCTGACATGGCCCAATCTCATGTGCCATAATTCTGTCTTCGACATAAGTTTCGTGGATGCAACATTTGTCGAACCACTTACAACCTCAGCCTCAAGGGTATACAAGCCTTGTTTCTTCACGCCTCTCAAGACTTCCTTCGACCCCTTCATGACTCTTAGGATACTTTTCTCTCCTTGAAAAACGTATCCTTTTCTGTCGAATTCACCAAGAGAAATCAAATTTCTCTTCAAGTCAGGTACGTACCTGACTTCAGTCAATAACCTTATTGACTCATCATGGAGCTTGAATCTCACAGATCCAATACCTGCAATTTTGCAAGATTTGTTGTTTCCCAGCAGCACAGATCCACCATCTTGATCACATAGCTCCTCAAACAATTCTCTGTTTGGAGTCATGTGCCAAGTGCAACCTGAATCCATAATCCACTCTTTCCTCGAGTCGCCACTTGCAACCACAAGAACATCAGATGAGTCGAAGTCATCTTGAACAATGGCTGTATTGCCATTACCTCCATGATCTTTCAGGCGTTCAGGGCGCACCTTTCTTATGTGACCCTCCTTCTTACAGCGATAACATCGAATACTAGATGTTTCACCACTATAAGACTTCTGTTGACTTTTACCTTTCTTCTTGTCGAACTTACCATCCTTTCGCAAGAATTTTCCCTTAACGGCCAAACTTTCGCCCACCGTCAAAGGTTTATGCTCCTTTCGTTCGTTCAAGTCCTTAGAATACAAGGCTGATTGAACTTCTTCAAAGGTCAGGGACTCCCTTCCATACAAGAGAGTTTCTTTGAAGTGAGCATGTGTTCTGGGCAAAGCACACAGCAGCAACAGTGCTTGATCTTCATCATCGATCTTCACATCAATATTTTCAAAATCAAGAATCAGCTTGTTGAACATATTCAACTGCTCAGCCAACACTTTGTCTTCACTCATCTTGAATGAATATAAAGCTTGCTTCAGGTAGAGTCGATTCACCAGAAATTTGGTCATGTACGAACTTTCAAGTTTCACCCATAATCCCGATGCTGTAGTCTCCTTTGATACCTGTCGAATAACCTTATCACCAAGGCTCAACAATATTGCGCTGTGGGCTTTCTCGATCAAGTCCGTCTTTTCTTTTGCCGTCAACGCAGCGTCCATGACTGCCTCACCCTTCAACGCTTCCAAACAACCCTGCTGAACCAATAGGGCTTTCATCTTCAAGCGCCACAGACCGAAGTCGTTCACTCCGGTGAACTTTTCAATCTCATACTTTGTTGAAGGCATCTTCTCCACGCTCACCGCACCAATTTGTTGTGAATCGGATGCCTTTAAACAAAGTATAAACGGTTTCTTAGCAAGAAACACACAAGGGTTAGTAAAGAAGAAAACAACAAGGAACAACAAGGATTGGTTATTAAATTGCTATTCTTTCCTTTCTCTTAGAACAAGATTACAAGTATACAAGAATAACAAAATAACCTCTCTCTCTTGAAATTAGGATTTTATCTTCCTATTTTTCCTTATGCCAAGATTGAGAAACTAGCATCCTATTTATAAGAAAAATAGCACACTAACATAATGGGCTTTTTAACAATTACCCATTACAAGCCAACTTAGGGTACAAGCTAACTTAAACAATTGGGCTTACAAGCAAGGCCCAATTCAACATGCTAACAACCCTAGCAATATTGACTAATGCATGTTAGAACAAACTTCGACTACAACACGCATTACTTGCGAACAGACTTCGACTATACTAGAGTTCGATCCAACATCTCACAACTCTTGAGATAAACATAATATTGACTGCTTTCTATCTCTCTTGATGTCAATACCCAATCTTGGTTGCAGCTCCAAGGTCCTTCATTTTGAATTCTTGGTTGAGTTCAACCTTCACCCTAATTACTTCTTTGACGAGAAAGCTTTCTATGTGGATGCCATCTACATAGAGCATAGAGCAATAAGATGACAAGTGATTTTTCAGGTAAAAATCTGAAATAGACACAATGATCAAAGTTGCTCCTTGTGAAACCTATGTGTTTCATGAATTTGTCGAATCTCTTATTTCATTTTTAAGGAGATTGTTTTAGGCCATATAGCGACCTATTCAGCTTGCACACATAATCCTCCGTACCTTTTTCTTCATACCCTTTAGGTTTTTTCATTAAGATCGTTTCATCGAGATCACCGTATAAGAAGGCTGTCTTTACATCCATATGCTCCAATTCTAGGTCGAACCTAGCCACCAATTTTCTTTTCTGTTTTTGGCTTGAAGACGACGAAATGATAATAATCATTAAAAATTCATACATAATTGTGAGTTTAAAAATTCGAATCCTAACGATAACATTCAACCGAATAACATCGACTTTGTCACTTAAGTTAGGAGTTTTGGACCTCTTTTTCCTTTTATAGAACATATTATTTTTGTTTTAGCAAACAAAAAGGAAGTTATAAATATTTATATCAATAGTAAGTAAATTTTTTTTCTCAAGAATCAAGTTTCATTAGATGAACAATAATCAATCAGAGCCAAAACTCTGAATATGTTTTCCCAAAAATTGACAAGAGTTACAATACAAGACTCAAATTTATCCTTTATCCTATATACAAAGACAAGGTAACTTTTCTTTGAAATACAAAAGATTCAATATAGCAAATGAGAAAATCAAAACATCCACAAAATAAACTCAAAACAACACATCAACATGCCTCTCAGCATTCTACACCACATTGTTTGAGTATAGGACCATTTTGCTTAGGCAAGAAAGGATCAATCCTAACCCAAATCAATGAGAAAATTGATGCCAAGAGAATTGACCAAAGCACCACAATTGTAGGAGTCCTGTTTTGTTTTCCCATGAGACCTTTAAGGAAAGGATATAAATGAACAATGACCCAAAATGCAAAGAACAGTTTCCCAAATAAAGGTCCCCAAGAACCATAACCATTGTTAATTGCATCAGAGACACCAGCCACAACTCCGACAATGTTCAAGATTATAAGAGTGGTTGGTGGAATGAGAAGTGTAGTCCATTTGAAGAGATATAACTCTCCGAATTCAGCATCATCTGCTGCTTTTGCCGTGACAGTGAAGTTTGTGTCTACTCCTGCAAGAACCTTGAGCAGACCTTGAAACACTGCGAAAAGATGCGCTGAGACACCTCCAATCACCCAAAATTGCTCGTTTCTCCACCAGTCTTCGATGGTAACTCCACTCCATCGAAGCTCGAGTACTCCAGTTAAAATGATGGAGATAAACAATGCCATAAACCAAACACTAGCAAGGTTGGTCAGCTACACAGCAAAAAAAAAATACACCTTACATAAATATAAATACGTATTTTAAGCGCATACAGAAACGAAGCGCGATATGATCAGAAAAGTTTGTAACTGTTCACTTACCGTTGGAATGATGAACTTTCCGGTCAAGAGGCACACGGCTGGAATTGTGCAGTATGCAATCAAAGGGATCGAAGTGAAAGGATAAACAATGGTATTAGTATAAGCGAGCCTCTCTAGATACTTCAATTTTCCTCCGTAACCATACCAAAGTGGACAATGGCGACTCATGAAGATCTCGACAGAACCAAGAGCCCATCGCAGAACTTGATGCAACCTATCTGACAGATTGATTGGAGCAGATCCCTTGAAGGCAGGCCTCTTCGGCATACAATATACCGATTTCCATCCTCTACAATGCATCTTAAATCCAGTCAATATATCTTCTGTGACTGAGCCATAAATCCATCCAATCTGTAAATGAAACAAAAATGTTCTCAAAATGACTCATAGAATAACAATCCTGGTTCAAAAGATACGAAAAAACGCAAACAAAGAACACGTAATTTTACCTCTTTTCCCCAATCAGTCTTCTCTTCATAGCCACAACTTATGTTATGAATGGCTTCCTTAACCAATGATTGTGTGTTTGTGCCTTCAGGAAGTCCTCCATTTTCCATCAAAGTTGAGGCAATGAAAACCGGGGACTGTCCAAATCGTTTCTCGAAACTTTTCTGTGACATGAGTGATGATTTCTCTAGCTCCTCATACCCTTCAAGTCCTTCTTCAATCTCTTCAAGATCAAACATGGAACTAGAATCTTTTCTAACATAATCTTTCCCCCCCATTTTCTTCTTCCTGTACATTCTACTGAATAGACCTCTTCCACTTGTTCCTGACTTCTTTTTTGATTTGGTTTTTCTTGAGCCGCAACAAAAGCAACACCATTTTGGCCAACAATCACATGTCATTTTTGGCCTTTTCTCAGAAACTGGTGGATCATATCCATACAATGCTTGTCTGTTGAACACGGTTCCCGTACCGACGTAAACTGGACCTTGGATCCCATCAAGCCCTTTCATATTGATCTGTGAAAAAAATAACATTTAAGGGTCATTTTTAAAAATGAATTTACATGAAAGTTTTGAGTTTAAGTTATGGAGAATGATACTTACATCAAAGAACACAGTGTTGCGATTAGCATATCGATCGTGGCGATCAATACCATCAAATCTTTGAGGAAATTGGACATAGCAAAGTTTCTTCCCTAGCTGAGGATCCATTAGGAAGCACATGGCCTCTCTAAGAGCCTTGCTATTGTTGATGTAGTGATCACAATCAAGATTCAACATGAATGGTGCATTTGTAAGCACAGCAGAAACTCGAACCTTTTGAGTATAAACAAAAGTTATAATCAGGTTTCTGACATCTAAGTTCTGCAGGAACTAAACAAAACAAAAGCAAGTATTTGATCTTACCAAAGCATTCATGGCACCGGCTTTCTTATGATGTGGATAACCGGGACGTTTTTCACGTGAAATATACACAAGTTTTGGCAGTTCCTTGCCTTCCACGTCTAGTGCACCACCACTTCCCAAGTAAACCTGCAAAAGGCAAGTTTAGAAATATGTTACAACTATCTTCGATGAAATTTGAATTTCGTCTCGTAAAGGTTATAAAGTCAAACTCTTGCGACCGAATTGACAACCTAACATTAAGATGATGAAAAGTTCCCAACCTGAATCATTCCTGGATGATCGCGGGTGTTGTTGCCAGGCCATGGAGTTCCATCTTGCATAACCCAACCCTCTTCTGGTTTCTTCAAAGCCTTTGCCACTAAAGCATTAATTTTCACTTTAAATTCTTCATATTCTCTCTGTCATGCATCAAACACAAAAAGTTATTCTAAGCCTCTCATAGATTCTTATGTAAACAGTTTATGACATGTATAGAAGAGCTTATGGAAAGAGCTACATTATGACATGTTCATAAAACTTTTTCAGCTCAGTTTCATAAGTTCTCCAAGATAACTTATATGTAAACTATTTGATTTTCTTTGATCTTATATATGTTATAGAAACAAGCTTTATATAAGCATTTATATGATAAGCACTTATGCTATAAACACTTCATAAATCATATCTTTATAGCTCACCTTCATAGACCTTCTTTCCTTGACAAAAGTAGGCTGAACCTTATCCTTCAAGTAATCAATTTTCTCCGAAAAATAATACTCCGGTGCCCTTGGTTCAATACTATACTTTTTACAAAAAGGAACCCACCGTCTCGCAAACTCGGAAGTTTCGGCCAAACAATCGAACAAAAGCATAGAAGCACCATCATCTGAGACATAGGCTGTGACTTTCTCAACAGGGTAGTCAACAGAAAGAATCGACAGAACGGTGTTTGCTGTTATAATAGGCGGTTCTTTCAAAGGATCAACAGAACTAACAAAAACATCAACAGGCGAAAGTTGGTTCGGTTCACCTTCACGTTCGAATCTTATAGATAAACGGTCTAAGTAAGTTTCACGCGTGATTGGTAACCATTTCGGAAACTGATCAAGTATCCATGACAGTGCAAACCATATTTCACATATGACTGATATGAGCCATAAAGGATATGCATCATATGCTGGTGTTAAGATACGGAAACGGAAGAAGAATGCTAGAATTACTAGTCTCATCACAATTACGATACGGTATGGATTGATTAAGCTTGATGCTATTGGAACTTTGCGCCATAACGGTTGTCTTGCTTCAGTCAAACTGCCACAAAAACAAACAATTTAGAGAACAATCTTTTACAGGTTGATACGCTTGATTTCTTTTCGAATAGAAGTGATTACTTACAGATACTCATCTTCTTCAACTTGGTCTTCTTTACCATCCTCTTTGTTTAGTAGACCTCTCTTTTCTTGCCTTACTTTCCATTTTTCTACTCTCTCTTGCCATTCTGCATTGCTGAGGGATTCCTTCTCCCCTTCAAAATCCTTGCCAGCAACTGCGTAATAATAGAATGGCGTATGTGAAATAACATATACAATAAAGGATAATCGGTGTCTCCAAATCCTAGCTCAACTGCCAGAAGTCGATATTGTTAGATTGGACGTCACGTCATCACCAAGGTTTGAATTATGGTACTCGCGGTTGTGTGTGTGAGTTTTTAGCGGTTACCACCACTCCATATACCAAAAAAAAAAAGGACAATTGGTAATTTGTATGCACAATTGTCTTTTCAAATTTAACAATGTTCTTACCACTTCCAGCATAAGAAAAAGCCTGTCCAGGATATAATTTTGGTTGATTGTAGTCCGAATTTTCCTGAAAACAATCCCATCATGTTCATAGTTTCGATCAATACTAATTGTCTGATTCATTTCTGTTCATTTTTTCAAGTTAATTTCATGTTCATGAATATGCTTGCACATCATCATAGAAATTACCACATGATTAACATCGCGGTTCTGGTCTAGATCATCGTGATGCTTCTTGATTGGAAACTCATCTTCAAAATCATCTCCATCAAGGTTCTCATCTTCATCTCCAACCACTCTTGGACAACCTGCAAGGAAGTCACTATCATCATAACCAAGACAGTCTTTGAGGGCGTGCAGAGTGGGCTACCGCACAGGCCAAAATTTGTCATTGTTAAACCGTAGCTAAATAGAGCATCTTAGAATATTTTTCACTATTAAACCGTGTCGAAATAGTATTTTAATTTGTTTTGTCATGTTAAACTGTAGCTAACTTAGAGAAGAGCCTCCAAAAACTTAAGAGGACTCTGATCATATAATTCAATCACATTTTACTATTTAGACATTTCAACATGTATTTTACAAAACAACATTACATGACATATATCTAAACCCTGAGATCTGATTGAATGCTAACCTTTATGGCGCTTATAGCGAGTGTTGCATTGAGGACAACATTGATTCCCTTCACTCCTCTCATACTCATAACAAGGTTTACAAACAGGAAATCCACAAACATGACAAGCAACAAAAAGCTCTCCATTTTCCTTATATCCAATCTCATCACCACAAACACGACATATTTTCGCAGAAGATTTAGCAGTAGGAGGCTTATGCTGCAAAAACAACAAAAACACATGTAAGTAAGTTTAAGAACAAGTATATTAAAAACTCAAAAGCATGCAATTTAGAAGAGAATAACATGAAAGACAGAAAAAGTAAAACACCTCATCAGAGTCATGTGAGAAATGAGAGTTAGAGCCAGTGATCAAACCGGCCATGGTGTTTGAAGCCATGGCAAAAGCCAAAGTTGGTAACAAAGAAGATAGAAAGAAGAGTGTACAAAAATAGAGTTATATAAGAAATGGAAGGTTGAGAGTAAAACATCAAGATCATGGTAGAGGCAATTCATCTGTACCAAACTGTGAGTTGGAGGGTCATAGCATCATAGGTTTGAGTCTAAGAAACGTTATATTGTTTGTTGTGAAAGGCTTTTCTTTATTTATTAACATTGCTTGGATTTAAAGGTGGTGTCTTTTTCTAGTTCTTCCATACATGGAATGATCAACAAGATACGTGTTGTTTGTTTTATATTTTACATAATTATGCTGGTTATAATGTCACGTTCTAGCCTTTAATTTTCATATCATGATAGTAAGTAGAAAAATTGAAGACCTTCTATGGAGGAGTTTTGTTTTGTTTTTTTTCCCTAGCTCTTAATAGTAGTTCATGATACATATTGATATAATGGAGTTATAATGTCACATCTAACATTTCTTAGTCTGAAAATGAATTTTACTAATATGCACCGAATTTTATAATGTCAACTAATTACTATCATCTATTCCGTCACATCATAGTGTAAATTTTAAGTTAATGATATGACATGACAAATTTATAAATTTTTATTGGATGTCAGTATAAAATTATTTTACACTGACAATACATACTAATTAAATTCATTGAAAAGTATTATAATTCAACCAATATGTTGAAAAAATTAGTATAAATATTAGTCACACAATTCTAAAATTTCCTTCACATGATACGGATTCGGAGACGTAGTATGCAATTCTTACAAAATTAAGTATATAAAAGGTATAGATTATTAATAGGTTATTTGTTAAAATAGAACAATTGTGTATTATAAAAAAATATCTTTAGTCATTATAACATAGACCACAGATTAATTCATAGACCAATAAAATGTTATCATGAATATTCTGGTCAGAAATAAAAGTTGTTTGGCTTTGGCTGATTATGCTAGTGTTTATCGTTGAAATTGATAAAAAAGTGTTAGTCTTTTAAATTCTATGATTTTTGATTACTCGTAGAATTGACTAGATTGATTCTAAGACATGTGTTTTTACTTGTTTCAAGTTTTATTATTTATGAGCATTTCGACAATGTTCTTTCAATTTATTCAAAATAAAATTACAATTCGTAAAGAAATGCATAAATGTAAGTTGCAATATAAATGAATTCAAAGTAAGTTTACACCAAATATAAATGACAAAATCTTAAATGATTTGATAAAAAATGTAAAAACATGGTGATCACACGTACATTGCACTCATGAACTCGTTTATTAACACATACATATACTTTGAGTAATATTTGAGTTTTTATACAAGTTAGAATAGTGAATTTTTTTAATTTATGTGGAAGTGTGAGGGTATAGATAAGGTTATGGTGTGGTTGCTTCCTTTATATCATTTTATGGAATCTTGGAAATGAAAAAAGAGTGTAGTAAGTGCATGGAGTAAAATAGGGGAGGGAGTACAAAAAAATAGCATAAAAGGTGTATGGGGGAATTCACAATTACTCTTATGAGACTTATTTGACAAGTTTTTAAAAAAATAAATAAAATTTATGTGACTTATTTAACAAGTTTCTAAAAAATAAATAAAATTTATGAGCCTTATATTTGACAATCTTCTAATAAATAAATAAAATTAAAATTAAAATTAAAATTTAAAATTAAAATTTAAAAAATTAAGTATAAAATAAGAAAAGATATTAATTAAAAAAAGATTAATTAAAAAATATATTAATTAAAAGTAGAAATAAAAACGGTAAAAAACAAATAATTGGACCGGTATCGAAGTGCTAAGAAAAATAAAATGAATATACCAAAATGATCAGCGTAAAATATACAATTCGGAAAAATACAGCGTTTGGTCAAATTTTAAAATAAATTTTATCCGCTAAAATGACTTAAATTGTCCAAAAATGCGACCGAAAAGTGGTCGAAAAATTTAAATGAGCACGCCAAGTTAAACTACGTGTAACGTAAATTAATATCACTGATGTTTACAGGCTCGATTTTAAAGTTTTCCGTCCACTGATTTTACACACAGTTGACTTTTAGTTTGACCGATTCAGCTGTAATTCCAACAAGTTTATTCTGGCTGATAAATTGGGTATTATGCAAGATGCAAGACATAATAAACAGTACAGATGATGCAAAAAGATGTGGGATCTTAGAGTAAAAAATTAGGGTGTGACATATATATATATATATATATATATATATATATATATATATATATATATATATATATATATATATATATATATATATATATATATATATATATATATATATATATATATATATATGCAAGACATAATAAACAGTACAGATGATGCAAAAAGATGTGGGATCTTAGAGTAAAAAATTAGGGTGTGACATATATATATATATATATATATATATATATATATATATATATATATATATATATATATATATATATATATATATATATATATATATATATATATATATATATATATATATATATATATAATGTCTTTGTTCCTCGTTTGTCTCCTATACTGCAGTGTAAATCATGCCTCTAATAATTTCACATCTAAAGTGACCATTTCAAGAATATCTTCCTGAAACTCTCCTTTAGTTATGACATCTCTTCCAATAGCAACAATAAGGTGACATCTAGGAAATACATCCACGATATCATTCACCATTGCTTGTTCCTCTTCAAGTATCTCCTAATGAGATGGCATATGAGGATCTCCTTCTAGAAATGGTGTCATATAAGGATGTGACATTCTATAAAACTATTGGACGTATTTGTATATTGTACTCAATGGACAAAGAGTTGGAACGCTACGTACATCCTTTAGCACTAGATGCTCATGTAGTCGGTAAAAATGCCATTAACGTCTCTGCGGAGAATAGTCGCAAGAGCAACAAATGTGTGATCCTTAGATATGCCCTACAAATATATAGATTTCTGCAAAACTCGCTCAATATGGGTACACATTTTATAACTGACAAGCCAACCATCCAGAGTACTAACATATCACCGCCATAAGTCGTGTCTGATCATGCTATATGTACGGTGACAAATAAATATCATCCGCCAGAATGCGATCAGAAGCAAGTATGTACGACTTAGTCGTCAGGTTCCTCCTGAGTGGTTTAATCGAGCCCGCATATGGAAACTCTTTAGTGTAGTCACAAACATATTCCCATAGGAAAATACCTGGGAAATGTTGGATGGTTCATGCTTGAAGTACATGAATAGTAAGGGTGTAGAATAAGTACTATGAAATTAATAAATGACATGTAAATGAATACCCTAAAATAGATAGTTACGTATATTAATTTGTCTTGTCTTCCATTTGCTACCTTCAGCTAGCTTGGAGTACAGGTAAAGCAAACAAGTTGTCCCCCAATTATACTTGTGAATATGCTCCAAGTACATGAAGTATTTAAGATAGACAACATTAACATAAGTTTCACTTTTGTGCATAAAATTTTTTGTGTCAACCAAAATCAGGAAGTATGTCTTTAATGTACATTGTCTATGATAGGCAACATGTGCATCATAACCCACAACATTTACAACTACATTCAAGTGGTCAATATTTTTTTTTGAGGAATGAAATTTTAGCATGACTCAGATGTCTTCTATCTTCTTTTGAGCCTCGCTCACATCAACCCCTAATTTTGTCACCATTAGGTCGAGTTCCTCGTATGAATTGTAGAGTGATCAAACAATCTTCCTATGATTGGAAGATGGAGGGGGCATGATACATCACCAAAGGTGTTGCTCATCTCATCAATGGGAAAATGAAATGATGACACTTTTGTGTGTCATCTCTCAACAAATGCTAGCAATAGACCATTGTCAATATTACCATTTTATTTCCTACAATAGTCCTTCATTCCAGATAGCTCTAGTACTTCCTAAAACCAACGCTCATCTGAATAGGAAAACTTTTCTATCTTTCTAGCATGATTTATACACTTCAGTGTATCATGGTACTACAAAAATAAATACATCATTAGACAATACAATTTGTATAAAAAATATTTTTAAAAGAGTAATTAAAATTTTAAATTGCCTCTCTTTCCCACACATGCCTAGAATTAGTGTGTGCATAAAGAGAAAGTAGTGACATGTCATCTAGACCTCTAGGAAAATCACATGGTGCGGCAACATCAGGTTTGGCTACAAGAAAGATTCAAACTGAAGATGTAACTTAATGTATTTTAATTAGTTTCTATTGGATGTAACCTACTGAAGTTTAACTAGATTTATTTAAGAAATTGCGTTGCACGCATCAAAAGTAGAAAAAATCAAGAATAAGAAACTTATCAAATGTTAGAGATTAAGTTGCTTGTCTTGAATTGAGAGGAGTAGAAGTTGAAGAAGCTACTCAGTTTGAATGAACATAAGTAGATATTGAGAGAAAAGGTTTAAAAAATATTGGAATCAGATTTTAGAGAGTTATGTTTGTGTTCTTAAGAGAACTTGATTTGTTTTAATTTCAAATGTAACGGAATGTTAGAGAAATCTTTAACATTTTTTGAAAAAAAAAAAACAATTTTGTTTAGAATGATAAAATAATACTTATCATAAATATATTTTTAATTTTTAAAATACTATAACAACAAAAATTATATTTGAACAATTTGTCTAAACCCGCCAAAATCCTCATTCAATACAAATTTTGAGTTCACTCAAATTATAGGTTTTTTGATGTTATGAATAAATACTAACACTCTAAAATCCTCCAAACCAAGATCCTTCTATTCTTTTTATTCAATCATTTTTATTTTTCAAAGTCCTCTATTCCCTTGTCCTCTAAACTCTCAAACAAAGCATGAGAATTTTCTTTTTGACGAAAATGAGAACAATAATAATGTTATAAATTTTTAATTATCAAGTGTTCAAAGAACTTAGGTTTAAGAAATTGCCTATTTTATAATTTATTTTGAATAGCTAGATTGATAATTATGTTATTATATATGATTTTATTT